GTGTGTGTGTGTGTGTGTGTGTGTGTGTGTGTGTGTGTGTGTGTGTGTGTGTGTGTGTGTGTTCCTGGGGACATGGGAAGGGGTCCGGTGGGGGAGGTCTCTGTCCTCAGCTACTTTACCAAAGCCTCTTTGTGACCCCCCTGGCCACACTGGGGCCGGCCAGTCAGCCTCGCTCTGTGGGCCCTGTCTCTCTCTGGTCGCCGAGCTGGGAGTCATCCAGACCAGGGTGTGGGCTGGTGGTGGCCGTGAGCGTGTCTTTGGAGCTCTGTGCCCTGCCCAGCATGGACACTTGTCACTCAGTTTTGACCAGGATGTCCTTGAGAACATGAGATGTGATAACTTTTTCCAGCCCTGAGAGGGGCTCCAGAACAGTGCCCCAGGCTCCGTGTCCCAGGGGGCAGGATGGCCAGACCCAGCCTTCCTCCCTCCCTTGCCATGTGGCTGAGGTGAGACTCAGGGATTTGGCTTTGGAAACCGGACAGAGCCCAATGCCATGTCGAACCAAGCCAGGGAGTTGCCAGTTACGTCTTAAGGAACAGAAGTCCCTCCCTGCCAGCCACGGCCCGGCCCTGGGTGCTGACCAACCCCCTCCCAGGCCCTATCCCCGGACATTGCAGTCTGGTCATTCTGACCCTTCAGCTGGACCAGCAGAGCCAGACAGGAATCTATATCTGGATTCTCGCCCAGGAAAATCAGAGAAGACACCGCGCTGTGGCGCCCTAGGCAGCCTCTCGCCGGGGATTTAACTTCCAGGGGCCCTCATGCCTGATGCTCCATGGAGGCTCCTGGAAACCTGGGACCCCGAGAGGGAGCAGCCGGCCAGATGCAGGCTCAGGTGGTCCCAGCGAGGATCCCAGCTCCCATCCCACCCTGGCAGGCCAGGCTTGGGAGGGATGTGAATTTCTTTCCTCACAGGTGGGCTGGTCAGGAGGTTTCCTGAGAGCTATACAAAGGTATTTTACCTTAACGCTCATTACCTGGGAGGCAGGGTTCCTTGGGATGGGTCATCATGTATAATTTAAGCTACAGGCAATGTCCCTCTTTTTAAAAAAAAAAATATATATATATATTTATTTATATGTATATTTTTTGGCTGCATCGGGTCTTCGTTGCTGCGCGCAGGCTTGTCTCTAGTTGCGGTGAGCGGGGGCTACTCTTCACTGCAGTGCGTGGGGCTCTCATCCTGGTGGTTTCTCTCGTTGCGGAGCACGGGCTCTAGGCACGCGGGCTTCAGTAGTTGTGGCACGTGGGCTCAGTAGTTGTGGCTCGCGGGCTCTAGAGCGCAGGCTCAGTACTTGTGGCGCACGGGCTTAGCTGCTCCACGGCATGTGGGATCTTCCTGGACCAGGGCTCGAACCCCTGTCCCCTGCATTGACAGGTGGATTCTTATCCACTGTGCCACGAGAGAAGTCTGGCAATGTCCCTCAGAGTGATTAACTCATAATAGAATAAAGGCTCTTCCCTCTTACATGCCTCCAGGCTGACGCAGCTGTACTGGTGGCCCCAGAGCTTGAAGGTGACATCGCCACAGTGTCCTGTCCTGCAGAAAAGAGGTTGGGCCTTGGTTCCATGAGGGGTGAGCTTCCCATGGGTGACAGTGGGGAGGGTGGGGTCCTCAGAGCAGGCCCCCCCTCTTACTGTCAGGCCCAGGTGCAGGCCAGCACTGAAGGCCCTGGCTGGGTGGCCACGGGCAGGCCAGGAAGAATCAGGTTGAGGGTCAGGGACGGGGTCAGTCTAACGTCCAGGGGAGGTGGAGGCCGGGTCGTCCATCTTGGCCTTTAGACAGCACTGAGTTTCGAGCTTGTGCTGGAGTAATGTGTTCAGTCCCCACAGAGGTGGGAGGGAGGGTAAATGGAGGAGAAAGCTCATGTGGCCCTGGGGGCCCCTGGGCTCCTCTGGGGGAAGGCCAGCAACCGTCTGCCCTGTCCTTAGGGGACACGATCAAGTCCTAACCCCGGTCCCGCGGATGGGGCCTTCTTGGGAAATAGATCTTTGCAGGTGTGATCAAGGTCAAATGAAGTCATAGGATGGGCCCTGAGTTCAGGGATTGGTGTTGCCATAAGAGGAGAAAAGTCCCAATGATGGGACAGGTGCTGTCCCCGCCCCCCCCCCTCATGGCAGGCTGCCCAGGGAGCATGCCCCGACACCTTGGTTTTGGACTTCCGGCTCCAGGACCGGGAAAGAGGGAACTCCTGTTGCTTGTGGTTTTGTGCAGAAGCTCCCAGGAGGTGGGGAGGCTGGGGCCGCCGGGGTTGCCTGGGCTTTGGTGCATCAGAGGCGTCAAGGGACATCTGCATTTTGTCTTATTTTTCAAATTTTCTAAAATAGTTTATTGTTTAAACAGAAGGACTCCATAACCACACTTTGTTTTGATACACTATTTTCTCATACCAGGCATGCGGAGCTGTGATGTGGACCAGTTATGACCGACTCTCCCTCCCAGCCCTGCCAGCCCAGGAGGGCGGCCGCCTCCTGGAGTCCAGGGCCTGGGGTCCGTCAGGAGCTCCGTCCACCCCTACACTCAACGCTGCCCAGAGCGCGAGGTCTCAGGACGCTGGCTTCCACTAGGGGGCGCCCCAAACCAGGCGCTCACAGGACCCCGTTCTGTGCCGACAGCAAATCTGCAGCCTTCTTCCCCAGCTGTACTGCGACGCAGCTGGCAGGTAATATGTGTGAGTTTAAGGCGTGCGGTGTGATGACTTGATACACTTAAACCTTTGGGGACAATTCCCACAACAAGGCTAGACCGCCAGCATCACCTCCCATAATCACCTCTTCTTTGTGTGTGGTGATGAGACGTAAGATTACTCTCTGAGCAGCTTTCAGCTATACACACAGTGTTGTGAGCTGCAGTCACCATGCTGTACGTCAGATCCCAGAGCTTACTCACGACTGGAAATTTCTGCCGTTTGACCAACACCTCCCCTCCCCCACAGTCCCTGGCCACCACCCTCTCCTGCCTGTTTTTATGAGTTTGGCTTTTTAGATTCCACATGTAACTGAGATCATACAGTGAGAACAGAGAGTCCTTTTCTGTGTGGCTTATTTCGCTGAGCATAATGCCCTCTAGGTTCATCCGTGTTCTAGAAATGGCAGGATTTCCTTCTTTTCTATGCTGAATGCTATTCCTCTGCGTGTGTGTGTGTGTGTGTGTGTGTGTGTGTGTGTGTGACAGAGAGAGAGAGAGAGAGAGAGAGAGAGAGAGAGAGAGAGGGTGGGGGTGGGCGAGGAGGGAGAGACAATCCTCTTTATCCATCGTCCACTGATGGACACTTAGGTTGCTTCCATGTCTTGGCTATTGTGAATGTGCTGCTGTGGATGTGGGAGATGTCCCTTCGAGGGCGATTTCATTTCCTTTGGAAAAGGAAATGAAATTCCACCCAGGAGTGGAATTGCTGGATCATACGGTAGTTCTATTTTTAATTTCTTGAGGAAACTCCATACTGTTTCCCTAGTGGCTGCACCAATTTACATTCCCATCAATAGTGCAGGAGGGTTCCTTTTTCTCCACATCCTCACCAACACTTGTTTTTTCTTGTCTTTTTGATAATAGCTATTCTGACAGGTGTGAGGGGATATCTCACTGTGGTTTTGATATGCATTTCCCTGATGATTAGTGATGTTGAGCACCTTTTCATGTCCCTGGTTACCATCTGTATGTCTTCTTTTGGAAAATGTCTAGTCAGGTCCTCTGCCCACTTTTTAGTTGGGTTATTTGCTCTTTTTTTGCTATTGAGTTGTACGAGTTCCTTATATATTTTGGATATTAATGCCTTATCAGATGAATGGTTTGCAAATATTTTCTCCCTTCTGTAGGTTTCATTTTCATTTTGTTAATGGTTTCTTTTGTTGTGCAGAAGCTTTATGGTTGTATGCAGTCCCACTCATTTCTTTTTGCTTTTGTTGCTTGTGCTTTTGGTGTCATATCCAAAAAATCGTTGCTGAGACCAATGTCAAGGAGCTTTTTCTCTGTCTTCTTTTCAGGGTTTTGTGGCTTCAGGTCTTACATTTAAGGCTTTAATTCATTTTGAGTTAACTTTTGTGAGTGGTGTAAGATAGCAGTCCAGTTTCACTGTTTTGCATGTAGCTGTCCAGTTTTCCCAACACCATTTATTGAAGAGACCATCTTTTCTCCATTGAGTATTCTTGGCTCCCTTGTCAAATGTTAGTTGACCAGATATGCAGGGGTTTATTTCTGGGCTTTGTATTCTGTTCGTTGGTCTATGTATCTGTTTTTAGGCCAATACCATACTGTTTTGATTACTGTAGCTTTGTAATATAGTTTGAAACCGGGCCATGTGATGCCTCCAGCTTTGCTCTCCTTTCTTAGGATTGTTTTGGCTATTCAGGGTCTTTTGTGGTTCCATACAAGTTTTAGGATTATTTATATATATATATTTCTGTGAAAAATGCCATTGGAATTTTGATGGGGATTGCATTGAATCTGTAGATGGCTTTGGGTAGTATAGACATTTTAACAATATGAATTCTTATGATTTATGAACATGGGATACCTTTCCATTTATTTGTGTCTTCAGTTTCTTTCATCAGTGCCTCATAGTTTTCAGTGTACAGGTCTTTCACCTTCTTGATTAAATTTATTCCTGGGTGTTTTTATTGTTTTTGATGCTATTACAAATGAGATTTTTTTTCTTTTTCATATAGGGAAAATTTATAATAATTTTTGTCTCAGAGTGAGTATTCCAGCATCTCAAGGCAGAAACAGTCATGTGTGTTGTCTGGTGGTAGCTGCTGCTCATTCCCCACTGGGCATTACAGTAGCTGTGGAAATGGATAAACTCCCAATTCCTAAACACAGTTGTTTCCAAGAGCTTGGGATGAGGGACTGTGGACATCTGAGAGGTCAGCCTTGTAAAACCAATTTAAAAGATGTAGTTGAGAAACTGATTTCAACGTGTGATTTAAAGTTGAAATCTTACTGGGTACGTACAATATTGACCAGCTCAGAGAGCTCTGGGGGCTCCAGCTTCACAAGTGTAATTTGCTAGATGTACAAGTTTCTGTTTGTTCTGTGAGACAACTGTAGGAGCTAAAAAGAAAGTCAAATGGAGTGAATGTATTAATACAATTAAACATGTTTATAGGAGTTTGACTAGGTTTATACCTGGAATCAAACGTGAATCAAAGACTTTAAAAGTGATGAATAGGGCTTCCCCTGTGGCGCAGTAGTTGAGAGTCCGCCTGCCGATGCAGGGGACACGGGTTCGTGCCCCGGTCTGGGAGGATCCCACGTGCCGCGTGAGCCATGGCCGCTGGGCCTGTGCGTCCGGAGCCTGTGCCCCGCGGTGGGAGAGGCCACAACAGTGAGAGGCCCGCGTATTGCCAAA